CACAAAATAAAATGTTGGGAAGAGTTCAGGTCAGACTTACCTGTTATAAATGTACCTTTTTTCTTCCACCTAAAAGGTAACATGAATAATTCATTTGTTGCTAAAACCTTAATCTTTGCCTTCATTTCCAAATTAAAATGCTAAGCTATCACGTATAGCTACTGGCTACATTTTTTAAATAGAAAAGGTAAAGGGAAGAATATTTGACCCTTCTGCCAATCATACCTCTCCCTGCAATATCAGTATTGTTCCCAGTAAGTGATTTCTTCAACCGAATCATCTATATAGTTCACCTGAACTATTCAACTATGTCAACTTATCACCACCCTTTGCCAAGTGGAGACCTGGTTGTTACACATTTAGAAGTAGCCAGCAGCTAACGTGCCTGTGTAGACATTGCGTGTGCATGACTTTCTACCAAAACTTACTAGAGGCATTTTAGTGTTGTACTGAGTTGTTGGAATAGTCATGACATATTTTTTCTATGCAAACAACCCAATGTTAAAAATCACATTATTAGAAATCAACCATAATCAATATATTAAAAATATCTGATTTCTATTAAAACTACTTTGTACTGCACTGCAAACAGGTAACACTATGATTAGAGTCGTTTAGCAATTCGTTTCGTAGAGCAATACATTTAAACTTTGGGCTTGTGGGAAAACGACCATATGTATCACCCACAAATTAAGTCTAAGCCAAAAGTGAATAATGCCTGCGGCATAAACTCCAGGTTTACAAGACTGAACTTCCAGACTGACAACTTTGAGAATGACAGCAAACCTTATATTGAACACGGATTAATCCAAAAAAGTAGAAATGGTCAAAACTTTAGGCTCTTACCAGAAATGGACTCCAGCAAATGCAGGAGACACACATGATGGCCAGGAGCTGGATGACCATTTCCAAATGATGAGACCTGCCTTGTCTGTGCTGCTGACTCTTAAACTTAACTCTTAAAAGTGTGATGCCTGTGATGGCATTGCACAAGCACGAAACACCAAGCGCTAAGAGCCCCAGAAAAGAAAAAAGCAGAAGATAAAATCTATCTTCCCAGTCTTTGATATGTTCTGTGTTGTAGAAACACCAGGTCCTTGACGCTTGGATTTTATAGTCCCGATGCCCAAGGATGGGCAGCAAAGCTATGAAAACAGCAAACAGACACACACCACTCAACATCATTTTCACATGCTTGGATGTAATTTTCGTAGAATGAAATATTGGTTTGGTGACTCCAATACACCGCTCAATGGCCATCACACTGCCTAGAAAAAGTGGGCACAGGCCGGAGAATACCATGCTGATTCCAAAAATACTGCATAGGACATTCGATTGGTCAAAGCGGATCCAGTCTTTATTCGATGCATATACAAATACTGCTATACCTCCATTGATGAGATGGCCAAAGAAGTCTGTGATTACCAGCCCACTAGCCAAAAGCAGAAACGATGCCTTGGACTTCTGTCTAAATCTCTGATAAGCCTTCATGAGAATGGCAATGGCAAGGCTGTTTGATAAGATCCCCACTGTCATGAAGATTATTGAAAAAAACACTGAAAGCCGGTTTTCCGTCTGGCATGTTGTGTTGGACAGGAGCCCAGCTGCAGGAGACACTGGCTGTTTGGAATTGTTCATGGACATTGTGGAGATACAAGCGGGTCCCTCAAGTCATCTCCCTCTCAAAACTGTGCTGTCTTGCAGTCCAAATATCTGTAGCATAACGAGAGAGAAATTATGAACACTGCATTACCGCTCCTCCGACATTTAAGACTGAAGAACCCCAGGACCCCGTGATGGGACCAGATTTATCCGGCCTATCATAAGCAAGCTTGCATCATACTGAAAGGAGCACTCCTCTGTCTTGTGGTTCTACACATCATTTCCAAGGTGAGACGCTGCCCAGACTGCGATCTCCTTGGTTAACCTCTGCAAATAGACACCTCTTAAACATCCTCGGGACACTTCACTGATGCCTTAAAACATTTAAGGTTTACAAAATCATTAACAAGATTAGATTTACACCCAATTAAGTGTGTAAAGCACAAGAGTCCATCTTCATAACTAAAAGACCTTTTAAAACATTTACTCTTTTCTCTGATGGACTTGGTCCCAAGCAAGTGAATTACCTGTTTGTCTGCAGACATAACAAGCTTCTTTCAACTCTGGGAGCAGACAAGCAAGCTCGCTAAGGTTAAATGGAGCTTTCGGGAATGTGTTTCTAAAACCTAGATCAAATAACAGCAAACCACACGCACGTACACACACACACACACACACACACACACAGTGACCCATGAGAGGCAGATGATGAATCTCTAGGAAGTTTTTCTAGTCCGACTACCACCTGTGCAGAAATCCTGGCTGGAGATGGGCAGGGGCAAGGGGCGCTCACTCTGCATTAACTGCCTCCGCGTTAATTGGTTCTTTTAATTAAGTTACATCTTCAGAGTAGCAACATTCAACGCAAAGTATGTGTCACCCCTTCCCTAACGGGCTGAGTTCTGACGCCTGAGTCAGAAACCATATGCACAGGACCACAACCACCCCGCCCGGAGTTAATTTGTTTGCGTTTCCCCAAGCAGCTTTCCGGGAGGCTGGGAATTTCGGAGTCAGTCTCTCCTGGGACTAGCCGCCTAGTGGCTGCCTGGGCGGCCCCAAGTACAGCT